TGCCAATGGCAGTCGTTCGATGGATACCATGCCCTTGGTCTGGTCTAGTCTAACCTGGTCGCTGCATCTATACGCCCATACCTCGCCTCCCAAGCACATGCTCTACAGCTTCTCCGTCCTCTTCTTCATATTCCTCGCCATGGAGAGGATCATGTTGACGTGACTGGCCAATGCCACCAAGTTTCCCTGCTCATCCAGAATCGTCACCTCGAGGTCGAACCGCCCGTTGCGAATCTCGCGCGCCATGGTCCTCATGAACAGCCACTCGACGCCCTCGGCGGGCAACCCCCGCTTGATGTCGAGGTTCATACTGAGCGTGGGATACCACCAAATCTCATCGGTGCGAAACGGCGTCTGCGCCTCGTCGGCCGCGGGGGGCCACCCCTCGACGAGGTACGGCATGGCGTCGACAACGTAGGCGAGCACGGCATTGGTCAGGGGCTCGCCGGACGCGAGGCGCAGCCAGACGTCCTCCTGGCCGCGGCGCGGGGCCGTCGTCGGGAAGAAACACTGCAGGTTGTTGTTGGAGCGCACGAGGTTGCTGCGGCCGCGGAGGCGCGGCGAGCGCGCCGTCCAGCCTGGGGCCGCGTCCGTCGCGAGCAGGTCAAGGCGCGCGGGCTGCGGCGGCGCCGGCGGCGTGAGCGTCCACTTGGTGTCGAGGGTGAGGCCCTGCTCGCGGGCAAGGCTGGCGTTGGTGAGGTACGAGAGGACGAGCTTGCGGGTGCGCGGCGTGATGAAGGGGGCGACCGGCTGCAGGTTGTTTTGGTAGAGCGTCGCGTGCAGAGTCGAGACGGAGCGGCCGAGCTTGACGTCGTCGAGGATGATGAGGGCGGGACCGGGCTCGGTGCGGTCGATGAACTCAAAGTGGCTCGTGATCGAGTCGGTCTGGCCGCGCGGCGCGAGGTGCTCGGCGGCGGCACGGATGATGGTTGAGGCGACGTAGCCGCCGTTGGGGACGGAGCCGATGCAAAAGTTGGCCGACAGATTGGCGAGGAAGACGCCGGGGGCCAGCTGTGTGACCTTGCTGGCCTCGGCGTAGGGGGTGATCTCCTTCGACATGGTGTGCAACGTGGGCCGCATGCAGATGCACCAATCGATATGGTGTCAAAGAAAAGTGTCTTGTGAGATTCTAGTAAACAGATGTGACGAGACTAGAGTTATGATGCTGCTGTAGGTGAACAAAAACGGATCAACATGGCTACCATGTCACCAGGCCGAGGCGACGATGATTTCTTATCAGAATACCCCAGACTTGTCGACGAACTAGGCGCGTCGCGAAACGAACCTCGGCACCGGCTTAGGCCTGACGCGGTCTTGGCACCCATGTGGCGGCGCTGGTCCAACCCACAGGACCCCTCGACAGCCACACTGCCGGGACTCCAGAGTGCCATTCTACAAAGTACCATGATTCTGGGTCGCCAATATTAACGTTCGCGGAGGCCGTCTCCCATGTTTCATTCGGAGGACGAGCCGGGGACACCGTGTTCGGCTCCGGTCCGTCGTGTGCAGCCTGAAAAAAGTCCGAGGCCGGCATGACGTCACTGCTCTCTCACACCACAAGCAGCTTCACATCGGCACCTCAACAACAACATGTGACGAACACGAGGAACGTAGCCCCGTCTCACTTCGACACGCTGTAGAAATTTAGCCTCAGACTCATAGTCGACAATGCCGTCACACCAGCTCACCGCCCTGGCCTCCCTCCGCGTCTCCAAGCACCTCATCCCAGCCCACAACCTGATCCCAAACACCTCCCTCCAGCAAAAGCCCCTCCTCCTCTACCACGGCGCCTTTCCTAGCTCCATCACCGCCGCTGAGATTGAGTCCCACCTCGCGTCAGTCGCTGTCGTCGAGCCCCAGTGGCGCTACACCATGTACACGCGCATCCACTTTCACTCGACGACGCACGAGGTCCTCTGCGTCAGCCGCGGGCGCGCGCGTCTTTGCTTTGGCGGCGAGGCCAACGAGGCCCGTTTCGAACCTGTTGTCGAGACGGGCGATTTCATTGTCGTTCCCGCGGGGTCGGACATCGGCTGCTTGAGGATCTGGACGGGGGCTTTGAGATGGTCGGTTCGTATCCCAATGGGCGGCAGTGGGACATGTGCTATGGCGAGGCGGGCGAGGAGAGGCAGGTCGCGGCCATCAAGAGGTTGCCGTGGTTTGCAAAGGACCCGATATATGGAGATCAAGGCCCGGCTCTAGATATGTAACCATGACGGCGATGACGAGGTGCGTTGAGACCTGGATGGATGTCGTGGGTTGCGCCAGACAAGATTCATCCACATTCCTGACTATTCTGCACAGTGACCCATGCACCGTGAAAAAAGCATCGTGCCTGCGTTGTGTGCTGGTATACCAAGAGACATAACTACAATGGTCCATGAGGGCTTCATGCAGTCCCGGATCGCTCCACCCATCTATCTCGTCATGCACAATTCGCTGGGTGGAACTTACACGTTTTCTCGTGCGCGCTGTTGTCCTTCGATATGATGACTTTGTGGTCGGCAAGGCACTCCCAGCAAAATTCTGCCTCGCACAACGTGTTGGTGCCTGCAGCCCGTCAGTCTCACAAGTTCTTCCATTGACTGCTTATGTATCAAGACGCCGTGGGTCCCGTGCACTGGATGTTGCGACAGGCTCCCCATCTGCGGTAGCAACCCCAACAAAACTCGAAACGACACTTAAGGCCTGCAAACTGTGAGTCGAGCCTGAGATAGGCACCACACCGCAGCCGCAAGGCGTCAAGCCCACGGGTTGGGACGATGGGGCCGCCGAGAGGGAGGGTATACGTACAAGTCATGTGCGAGCTGGAAGGGCCAAGCTGTCAGCAAACGTCTGCTCGATATCGAACCGATGGACTGACCATCCGCTATTCTTCTCAATAGCCCAACTGCATCCAGGGCACTTCTTTGTCGTCCTGTTCATCGTGGCCATGCTTTGTTCATCCTCCCTCTTACGCCGGGCAGCCGTCTTCCTTGCTTTTTCCGCTGCCTCAGCAGCTTTCCTTCGGGCTTGTTTGTCGCGCTCCACTCGAGCCCGCTCTTCTGCCTCCTGGTCAGCAGCGAGGCGCCCGGCCAGAGCGTGATCCACAGCGTCTTGGGCACGACGGCGAGCCTCCTCCTCGTCGACTGCAGCGTTTTCGACTTCTATGCGCGAACGAAAGTTTTCCGGATCGGCAAGGAGAGAATCAAACTCTTCACAGGTAAGGCCGTCGTGCCACGCAACCTCGTGGGTGAAACAACTCCGACCACTGCAATGGAGGCAGATGACAATCGGCTGCTCAGCGCCTGTTTCATGGATCTGACCGGAGCCGCAGCCACCAGCACACCAGATGAAATTATCTGCCTGGTGCATCGCTGCTCGGAGGGCGAGATTTTCGTATCTTTCCTTGTTAGAATAGCCTGTTCAGGAGACCCCCCCCCCACATACCTTGAGAAGGTTGCGTCGTCCGCGTACCGCTGCACGTCGACATACTCAAGCAGCTCGCGGCATTCCGGGCACCGGATATCTTTCCAGTGCCTGCTGTTGAGCTCTGTCCGGATCGCTACTTTCAGGCATTCTAGACAGGCTTCTGGCGGGTGAAGGCACGTGGGTGTGATGCTGAGAATGGGAAATTCGGCAAGCGCTTTCGGCTCCACGCATATGGAACACTCCTTTTCCTCCGACAAGTTCTTGGCGGGAATGCGCTGACGCGCGATGATGACTCCAGGGTTTTCATCGTCAGAGGCTTCGGCCTGTTGATAGTGCTGGCCGAATCTGAGAAACTTTAGTAATCGTACGTGGCCGAAGGACAAGTCTCATTGAAACAGAAATACCTTAACTCCGCAGCTTCTTCAGGGGTCACACACGGTCGCGAGCTACATGAAAGAGTCAACTTTTCCCGAAATGGCCGACAAGATATGATCACCTACGTATTTTCACGCTGTTGCGTCCCAGGTTCCACACAAGAGAATGGCGTGCCTATATAATCATCGAGGATCGATACCGCAATCCGACTATAACCCCGAGGTAGTGTAGGTATTCTCGGTGCTATGGCTGTCGGCAACGCTTGGTCGCGATTGACAGACATGTCAAGCGGAGAAGAGACATCGAAGCCGGCCATGATATCGTTACTTGGCTGTAGGTATCGAAAACCTGGTTGCGCCAGCGTTTCTGGCATATCGGTCATGGCCTCGTTGGTAGACAGACTAGGAACGGCCGGCAGATGACGTGGTGGGAGATCAAAGTCGGCCGTAATAGCTGGGCTGACGCTCGAGTAGAAACCGACTTGTCGTGGGATTCCTGACGTCGTCTCGCCTACCACTGCTACCATATCCATGAAGGGCTCGTACGACGGTGCAGGAATCGATGCTGGAAGTTCCTCTGCCTGTGCACGCACAACTTCTGCTATTTCGGTCAAATTTCGGCGAGCCGTCTCAGTCAAGATTGGTATTTCGGTGTAAGGGGGTGGGGGGTCGTCCTCTAGAGAAGGTTCGGAGCTGCTGGTATCACTACTACTGACACGGATGAAGCTGTCTCGGTTGGCACCTCTGGGAGGCGAGTTGACCCTAAGAGGCTGTAAGCCGGGGTTATTGCTTAAAGGACAACCAAGCATGTTCCTGAAAGAGCGAAACATGGCGAGAAACCACCAGGTTGCATGGATGATACAAACCAGAAAAGGTCGAGATGGTCATGAGAGCGGTGCTGACTTCACCACTAGGTAACCTTCCAAACCCGGGCCGCCAGTCGGCGGTGAAGGAGGCAGCCTGCTTCCAATTGTCTGCGAGTGGCCTGCGTATTCATCAGTACTCTGGGGCTGAGAAGCATAATTTTTCAGGCTCGGAGCCTTACACCTTGACTGCCAGGCAGTGCTCCTATTAAAGTCCCTAGGTACCCAAGGCTGTTCTGCACGAATAACTGGTCTTGAAGTGTAAAAATAGGGCCGCACCTCGGCTTCGACGATGAAGCAGCTAAATCGGCCTTTGTCCATCCCTGTGGCGGATACCAGCGGTCATGGAAATCGTCTCAAAGAGAAAGATGTGGGCTCTGCTACAATGGTACTGAGGCTCAAATACGAGTGGGGCTCAAGTCAGTCCTGTGATCTGCCCTGGAGCCTCACCAGGGTCTTTTGTCAGTTGAGGCTGCAATAGCGCCTGGTGAGGTCCGATTGAGGCCTTCCTGCCGTTGCATGCATGGGAGAGATACCTCCAGCTGTTGGCCTGTGGCACAACTGGAGAGCCTTGCCCAACTGCACTAAAACGCGCCTCAAGCATGCATGCACTAGCCCGAATTGCGCATGATCCCTACCTGGCTGGGTAGGGTAGTGCTGAGGTCCGTCTGACCCGTGCAAAGAAACCTTGGAGCCTCCATTTGCACCCCCTCCACATGCAGAAGGACCTACGGACTTCAGGCTGCTGCCCAAACATAGCCCACCATCGACCTCTTCACCTGCCTGGGGAGCTTGCAGGTGGTGGCTTCCTAGTAACGGGCCTGATCATGGCCTTATTTGATTCCATCGGGTTCCCCTTTCAAACTCGCATTTTGTCAAGCTCCGCCTGATCCTTTAAGGGGCGTCGTGCTGATACAAGGGTCTTCATCTGCCCTGCACTTTAGGGCTCTTACTGAACGACCATCGTCTTCATATTCACTGCGTTCGATCAGAGCAATAGCTAAGACATGAGCGCTGCCTTGCATACTCTGCAGAACAGACCATGAAACAGCGTCGCGACAACCATCAGCCAACCGTACCTGACAAAGTGCCCTTGGCGCTGGAGGGAAGCTTCAGGCGACCAGATAGCATGGCCCCGCCCCGCGACGATCATCTTGATCATCCCGAATACCGTAGATCGGGGATTCAAGAAAGCCGCAGCGACAATGCAGATGCCGGCAGTAACCTCGAGGTCGCTCAGCTCACCGTTCCCGACCTTCCCGACGATCTACTCCCCAGACAAGCACCTCCGCTTCCAGACCGTGGAGTCAGCAGACGGCAGTCACAGCCCTTTGGGGGCCAAAACCATCTTCCAGCTGTCGAGAACTCCGTCACGGCCGAAAATGTAGGCCAGAGAAGTCAATCCAACATCCCGTCGAGCCCTCCAGAGCGCCAGACGAGCGGCGGCTTCGGAGGGCTTTGGCAAGACAACAACAACAACAACATCGATATCATGATCAAGACACAAGCAACTATGGCTGCCCACATTGAATCTTTGACTGCGAGGGTTGAGATGGCCGAGGAGAGGCAGTCACGGGCTGAACATGCCCTAGAGGAACGCATCAGAGCAAGGGACGACCTGAATGAGAAGCTCAGGAAGATTGAGAATTTCACGGAGAATCTGGAAGAGACGAAGAAGGAGAACGAGGCCTTGAAAGAACAACTCCGGGACGCTCAGTCACATATTTTTAGTCTACAGCCGTATCGGAAAGATGTGACTCCTGAGGAGGTCAGACGTGTAAGTCATCCAACCTCAGTGCAAGGCCACCAAGCTGACGTCGAACCTGGAGCAATACACCAATCTTGTGGATGGTATCGGTGACTGGGTTGCCAAGTTCATGTTCCCCTGGCTCGATCGCCATCAAGAAAGTCTTGAAATGATATCGAATGGGCTTCGTAAACGGCCCGGGGATGCGGCCAGGATCAAGCGCGCACTTTCCAAGAATGCTGACCTCTTCCACGCAACCAAGTACCCTGACACAGATGAAGATGTGGTGATATCTCTTATCTTGCGGCACCTTAACGATCATATTTTCCAAAAGACACTCTACAATCTCATTCCGGACAATATCAGTCTGCTCCAGGCCATCGAACGAGCCATGCAATCTGCTGAGCCAAAGCGAGGTGGGTCTATCCGCTGGGCCATTCGCGACCGATTTCTGACAACCACAGATCTTTTTGCTACTCGCACCTGGATTGCCGAAGCGTACACAGCTCTCATAAACATGGACAGATTTCGATCGATGCGCCAAGAGAGAGAGAAAGAGATCGCACTTGACCTGGTCGAGCTCCTGAGGGTCTTTTGCAGTCGTGATCAGATGGATGCTTTTTGTGTGGGATTCGTCCATGAATGCGTCCGCCCCGCGATGAAGTTGTATGAAAAGATCCTGATTTCGACGCACGTCTTTTATCTGGACCCTACCCCATACGCAGCCTGGGTACATGACAGCCCCGGCGACGTAGAGCTGTCTCCCCGTTTTTGGAAACATCTGGCTGAGCACAAGCTGGAGTGTAAAAATGTTTTACAGAATCGCAAAACATTCGACCCCCGAAAGTTAAATCCTGAACCGACAGAGAGGGAGCTCTGTCAGAATCTTGAAGTGGTATGCATGGTAGCACCACCGCTGTACATGCGTCAGATTGGCAGACAGGATACTGTTCGAGAACCTGATTTGGTGCGGAAACAGCAGATGCTTGTCGCTTGGGGATCAGAAGAGAAGCGGATCAAGTTCAAGAAATGCTCCGACCAAACGTTGATCAGCGCCATCTGCGCAGCCAACGAGCGTGAAGCCTGGGCTGCATTTCGGTGGGCATAGAGAGTGACTGAAATCCTATTACCGAAGCAATAAAGCACATGCATGATGGGGCTCGTGTCGAATGATCGTTCGTCCAGGCGCTTGCTGCCACCTCTTCTACATTAGGACTGATGAGTGACCGAGGTGCAGTTGCTGGCAGACCGCAGCAGCGGCCATAAGATGTTAATGGGGGCTGACAACGCCATTATGCTCTTCGCAGACCGTCTTGGCTCAAGAACCCTCGGCCCTAGCGTCACGTAAAAGTCCTGGCAAGCATGTGTAGGCAGACTCTGGCGGGGTTCATTGTAGACCCATCGGCGAGGGGGATGCAATCCGCCCACCAACAGGCCGCTTGAACAAGACCCCCTGCATGCAGTCTGACCAACCTCGCCCCCTCCTTCAATACCTACCTAGGTAGCTACCTAGGTTACCTACCTACCTAGGTAAGTTAAGGTACCTAGGTAAAGTATCTAATGCTGCCCTTCGCTAGAAACCACAAGACAGGCCACCAACAGCGGCGAGGCATACTTCCTAGATTGAAATGGAAGAAATGCGTTTATAAGGCTAGAGCCGGGCCTGGTCCCGCAACTTTTCCGCAGTCCGCTGTTGGGTTTATATCAAATCTGTTGATTCCAGACTCGTCTCGCCTCCTGCAAAATAAGCCCCCCCCTCCCCCCCAAAGCCAAATCGACAAACTCCACAGCACAGCCTTTGAGGCTGCTCAGGCGCACTTCTTGAAAGCACCTTGGAAGGTGCCGGATAGGTTTTGCCTCGCCAGCTTATCTTAAGAGTGATTGTTGCCACCGACTTCATCACTGACACAGACGCAGCCTGCATTATAGAAACCGGTGAAGCGACTGATGCTACATATACCTGGATCACCGGCAAAGGGATATAACGGCAGTTAAGAAAGTTGCTGCAATGGACTTCGAGAAGCTTGCTATTAGCGAGCGCAAGATCATCGTCGGCATCGACTTTGGCACCACTTACTCCGGTGTTGCTTGGGCGGAAACACAACGTCCCGATCGCCGGACTACCATCACTACATGGCCCGTCAGCAAGACCATCCGAGAGGGCGAGTCCTCTGATAAGGTACCGACAAAACTGCGGTACTCGAAGGGGGATGTCCAATGGGGATTCTCGATCCCCGTCACCGCACCGCAGAATGAGGTCGTGGAGTGGTTTAAACTGTGAGTACCTTACCTTGAACACAGATTGCTCCAGCTGTGAGATCGGCGCGCTGATGAGTAAGTGACATCGACCCGACATTGCAAGATATGGGAAATACTGTGGCAAAGGAAGCCCGTGCCGGCCGCAGTGTCGATGAGCTTGTCACCGATTTCATCTCGGCCCTGGGCGAGCATCTTCGCTACACGCTGCAAGCAAAGCTAGGCGGGCACATTGTCAGCACCATTCCTTTGGAGGTAAAAATCAGAATCCTTTGAATGCGCCTACTTTACTAATGAGACAGTTTTGCGTCACTGTTCCAGCCATCTGGTCCGACCTGGCAAAGGACAAGACAAGGCAGGCTTGCCAGAAAGCTCCTGGTCTGGTCGCCACGCGATCACCAATTCACCTGGTCTCCGAACCAGAAGCTGCTGCCATATATGCACTGCATGGCCTTGATCCACATGGCCTTCAGGCTGGCGATACGATTGTCGTCGTGGATGCTGGTGGAGGCACGGTGGATCTGATTTCATACACGATCACCAGACTGAAGCCTATTTTGGAGGTCCAAGAAGCTGCTCCTGGATCTGGAGCACTTTGCGGGTCGACGTTCCTGAACTTGCGCTTCAGGAAATTCCTCACATCAAAATTAGGCAGCGAAGAAGGTTTCGATGACGAGGTTCTTGCAGAAGCCTTGGATGTGTTTGAGAAGAAGGTAGCAGCTCTCCCCTTCCCCGCAGCCGCTATCGACACTAACAAGAGCAGATCAAACGTCAGTTCACCATGCAAGCTGGTCCCGGCGACACATTCATCGTCCCTGTTGGCGGTCTTGCCAATAACAAGGAACTCGGTATCAGCCGCGGCCGCTTTTCGCTGAAATTGGCCGACCTGCAAACCATCTTCGAGCCGGTCATCCTCGAGTGCATCAAGCTCGTCAGCGCCCAAATCGCCGCCTCGGGTGTTCCCATCAGCGCAGTCCTTCTTGTCGGCGGCTTCGGCGCCTCCAACTACCTCAAGGAGCGCATCCGCAACGCCATCGATCGCAAGATTCAGATCCTTCAGCCCCCGAACGCCTGGCAAGCTGTCGTTCAAGGTGCTGTTATGAAGGGCCTCGCCCAGGCCTCTCCCAGCCAGCTCACGCAAGTACGCATCCAAAACCGCAGAGCCCGCAAGCACTACGGCACGCAGTGGCGCACGCGTTACGAAGAGAGACAGCACGGTCACCTCCGCGACAAGCGTCATTGGTGCGGCCTCGACGGTTGCTACAAAGTCTACACGATGGAGTACATGGTTCGAAGGGGCGATGCCGTGTCCGAGACGGACGCATACTACGTCTCGTTTGTGTGGACGGGCCTTGTGAGCCAGGGGCGCATCAAGAAAGTCAAAATGGACATCTACGCCGACGGCACGTCCTCCGTTGCGCCAGTTGCGCGCAACGACAACACGAAGCTGCTCTGCCATGTCGAGGCCGACGTAAGCCACATCCCCGAGTCGCAACTCGATCGCCGGCAAGGCAATGACGGCGAGGCATACTACGAGCTTGAGTGCAAGATTGAGGCCAGGTTCCACTCGGCATCAACTGAGTACACTCTGTTGTACAACAGTAAGTGGTCTTTGCAAAGACGAGTGGATGATTTCGAACTAACGCCCCCAGACCAGCGATACAACACCGTCACTGCAGAGTATGTATAGCTTGCGCCGAAGAACGGGAGTGGTGATACGGGAGGAGGTTCGCGAGGGAGTTTGTGGAGTTTTGTATAGCTACCTGAGCTTTCCCCCAATAGACAAATGATATTATGAGGCTTGCATTTGATGACATTGCGTCTCTTTCAACCTTCCCCCCCCCTGCACTCATGTTCGACAAGAGAGGCAGAAGCCCCGTCCACCGGCTCTGTATTCCGAGTGCGAGTAGAGGGCTCCACGCCGCCGTAACCCCACCACCGTCCGCTGAGTGCCTGCCACAAATGCCTCAACCATGACTCTTTTCTCTCCACAACAGCCCACACGAAAGAGGCCAACAGGCTGCTTGTTGCATTCATAATCTGTGCGGAAATGGCGGCACTGCATGGAGAGATGGCCGAGTGGTCTAAGGCGCTAGTTTCAGGTACTAGTCAATTTATTGGCGTGGGTTCGAATCCCACTCTCTTCAACATCGAGGACCCAACGTGGTCTCATTCTTTTTGCTTTGTACGTCAGGCGCCAGTCGACCGAATATTTTCCCTCCTTAGACTCCAAGATTTCGGATTGGCATGTGAATGACTGCGCGCTCCGCTGGCCTTGGTCTTGCTCCTGGTACTAGGCCTACGCAAGAAAGGCATCTGAGGCAAAGTATTGAAGTGGTCATGCATTTATCAAGTGGATATCGTTTCGAGGCATCTAACGCGAGGAGACAGTGAATGTTCCCATATATACATTTAGCTGGTCTACTCTGAGTATCTTCGTAGAAAGCAACCTCTCTTTCACCGTCTTCTCAATCGCTACGTTATGCTACAATCACGCCGCCGTCAACTCGGCAACGCGCTTCTCCAGCTCAGGCACCTGTCGCAACAGCACGTCAAGCTCCTCCTTCTCGTCCTCCAGCTTCAGCCTGCGCTCCGGATCGAGCTTGGTGAAGACGTAGTTGCCCTGTCCGTCGAACTGCAGAATGCGCGAGTGGTATTTCCACAGGCTCTTGCGGTGACTGACCGTCATGAGGGTGATGCCGAGGCTCTTGGCCGTGTCGTACATGACCTTTTCCGTGTCGAGCGTCACGCTGCTCGTGCACTCGTCCAGGATGGCGTACTTGGGCTTGTGGTAGAACAGACGCGCCATGGCGACGCGCTGCTGCAGGCCGCCGGAGAGGACGTCGCGCCATTCAGCCTCGGCGTCCCACCCGCCGTCATACAGCGCTGGCAGATGCTCCAGTCCGAGGATGGCGAGGATGGCATCGAGATCCGAATCCGTAACACCACGCGCGCGGACTTGGCGAAGAGAGTCGGGGTACGTGATTTGCTGGCGGAGAGAGCCGCGAGAGAGGTAAGGACGTTGGGGGATATAAAAGATGTGGGCGAAAGGCGGCTTGCGGACAGTGCCACCGTAGACGGGCCAAAGCCCGCCGAGAATGCGGAAGAGGGATGATTTGCCGCAGCCGTTGGGGGCGACGACAAGCAGGTGGTCGCCGGGCTTGAGGGAGAAGGAAAGCGCCTTGATCAGAACGTCGCCGTTGGGCGAGATGATGGAGCTGTGAGCATTAGCTAGGTCATACTGGGGTCATTTGGTACGACTTACACATCCTTGAACTCAATGTCTTCGCTCTCAATGACGGTGTCTCGCCTCTTAAGAACAGCTTCGTTGCCTTCGGTGCCAGAGCTCGAATCCAGCTTCTTTTCAAAGTGACCAGAGCGAATATCGTTCATGACCTCGAGCAAGGAGTCGACACGAGACGTGTAGCCGGCCAGCTCCATGGCTCTCGGTAGGAGAACATGACACGACCAAACGCATCCGAAGCAGACAACAGCATTCTTCGGTTTGTTACGAAGCTTTCAGTGCGATCACCCATGCTCATGGCAACGTGGCCAGGCATCTTCACGAAGACCGGCGCACTGCACAAGAGCAGACCAAGAGCACCCCAGAAGTACTTGATGACGAAGTCTTCCATGAAACCATGGTAGAAGCGACGGCGCAGGATGTAGTTGACGTGCTTAATGAGCGTGAAGTAGCCCTTATCGAGGGTATCCTTCTCGGCTTCGTGGCCATTGAAAGGGGCAACCTCCTCTGCGTGGTCGATCAGACGCGAGTGCTGGAAGCGGATTCGCCCTCAAGACGGGCCTCATCAGCGACAAATTTGCCAAAGGGCGGCGTAAGCGCGCGCATAATGTTTGCTGACAACTGCACAAGGAGCGACATGAAGACAACACCCTCACCGCCGACACTGTTAGATAATGAGTAGGTGTAGATAGTCTGCAAAGGGCGTTAGCGAGGTTTCGTAGTTCGTGGCGTGACACCCACCATATCGAGCAAAGGCTTCGCCAAGTTGCTGTAGACCTCAGCCAGGCTGTTCGAAAACTTGGCCACATCGACGGCGATGAGCTGGTCGGCGTTCTTTATCCGGTCGTCCAGCGCCGAAATGCCATAAAAGGTCAACTGGGACAGGTACTTGTCGTGGATGTGCTGGGTCAGGCGCGTGCGGTACTTGAGGGAAAGCTCGGCCTGATGGTAGGAGAGCATAGAGTTGGTGAACGTCGCCGGCACCGCAATCAGCATCCACCAGACGATGCGCATCAGGAATTCGCGCCCGTTGCCCTTGACCAGGCTCTTGACAATCTGGCCATCCATGGCGGCGACCTTCAGACTGATGAGGGTCCTGATGACGAGGAAGAACGAGCGGCTGATTAGCAGCCGCGTCTCTTTGCTTTTCCACCCTGGTATGACAATCTTGAGGAGGCGCAACAGTGAGCGGAAGAACTCGCGGTTCAGCTCGACCTTCTTCTTTTTGGCCGGCTCATCGGTCTCGCCCGTGGATGTCGTGACACCGCTGCGGGCAGCGCGTTGAGAAGACTCGCGCTGGGAAGCGGCCTTTTGCTCGGAAATGGCATGGCGAATGCGATTTGCTAGGGCGACGAAAAGCGTGATCCAAACGGCGCGGGAGATACGAGAGCGATTGGACAGGTAGAGAGATGTGAGGTTGGCGACGACGGATCGGATGGTGCGGTCGCTGGGCGGCGTCAGCACCGACAGTTTGGACTGCGCGGCCATGGTGCGTTGCAGGTGCCGGTATGTCAATAGGGTATCGTTTGTGTATTACTGGTGCGAGCTGATTCGGTTCGTCGGTCGATGGAGTCTACGTCACTTGACCATTGCCGGGGCGCAGGTCGATTGCGTTGTCAGACTATTCAAAGTTGTGAAGGCATCGGGTAGCGACTGGTTGATGCTATTGAAGGAGCGACACGAGCAGCGGCGGCGGTGATAGGTGTCTTCGGGAGAGGTGGGCGGCATAGGGAGAAATCCCATGATCACAGGGACAGGCATGCAGTCAAGTCCACGGTTCCAGCGACGATGGTCCTCGGCCGTGGACGTCGACAGGCACAGGCGCGCCCCACAATAGCACGCTGTCGCACGCTCCTGCCGTGACCATTCCCGAGCATGTGATTGACCTGTTCCTTTCCATCTGATCCTGGGCGCACCGCCACGGGCACATTACTCATCCGGGGTAATCAGCCACACCGCGGGGCAAAATTTGTTCCTCGTCTGTTGCCTTTCGACGCTTCTGCGGCTATCACTACAAGTCTACAACGCGGACAGCGCATTCACGACTCCCACGACCCCCACGACCCCTACCGCCATCATGTCCGACGACGAGAATATCTCCGTCTACGATGAAATCGAGATCGAAGACATGACCTTTGACGAGGACCTTCAGGTCTACACCTACCCATGCCCCTGTGGCGATAAATTTGCAATCGCGCTTGACGATCTGCGCGACGATGAGGACATTGCTGTGTGCCCCAGTTGCAGCCTCATGATTCGTGTCATCTTTGACAAGGTTGGTGAACTGTCCGCAGCGCCGAAACCTGGTGTCTGACTTTTTGCAGGATGACCTTCCCAAAGATCCGGAAGCCGACCCGGAACCTCCTGTTCTGGAGAACGCCGCCCAGATCCCTGTCGTCGCATGAACAGTGCCTTATAAATATGAGATACCGAGAGAGGATAAATATGAGCATGGCTTGGCGGATGCAAGAATAGCTGGTAAACTCCGATCGGGGCACGAAAGCGCTGTTGCGACAGCGACGGCTGCAGCCAAGGCCTCCGGGCTTTGGGGGCCCCTTCGCTGTGCTGCCACTCGTCGAGGTGCCTGCATGAGACTCTCAATTTCGGGACCTCAAAACTCGGAAGCAGAGGTTGGAGGCTCTGCTCGCGCAGCGCCGGAGGCTGGGCCTTCCCTGTTCTCCGAGGACGATGGGGTTTGGGTCTGACTCAACATGGCGGCACTACAAGAACGCCATGGGCATTGAGATATTGGTCGGGACCAATTCTGGGGCGTATCACCGAACACTTGGGATTTGCGTCATTCTGGTCCTCGAGGTCTGACAGTCCGCCATTCGGTGCCAATACAGACTGGCCACTCCATGAAGGCGTGTCGTCATGTCAAAGACCCCGCCTCATCGATTTGCGGCCGGCTACGCTTCAATGTCGGTTAGCATCGTACTGCTGGGAAGCTAAAGAATCTGGCGTACACACTGCACAGCACCTCATTATACCTTCTGCTGGTAATGCAACATTGATATCCCACCACTTCGGTGAAGGATGGATCGTCCGCGTCGACGAGTGCTCGGGCTAAAGCTTTAATTGGCATGATGATCCAATGCATCAGCGCTCGTCCAGTGTCAGCTCCAAGAAGAGCGATTTTGAACGCACTTGCGTATTTCGAAACCCAAAGTCAACCCAGCGCGTCCACTGCTGTAGTTCTACAGTGCCCGGTCAACATCCAAATTTATCCACCATCTCTGAGGCCCAATATCAATTTTTCGAATCTAGGAGGTTAGACCTTTGTGAGCAAGTGTTCCCTTGAGGTCTGTCATCGCGCCAAACCTCAAAGTGTTGGCTTTGCACGACCATCACAGCAAGCTTGTAGCAGCCCCAGTATTCCGACACATGGCCAGGGGCTACGTCTATGATGTTTTCAGTAGGTAAATCTTCTAAGTTAGGGCATTACTCGACCTCACTCCAGAGGAAGTGAGTCTTTTTATTCGCATCTACCCGAGGGATCCATGCCTTGAGGGTCTCGGGACGTGTCCGTATCCGATGTCGTCTCGTCGACCTTGGGAAAGCGTAAATAATGGGCAAAGGCTGTGCAATTCCCCAAAAGAACCTCAGATTCTCTCGCTGTTCCACCCTTTACTCACCCTGCGGTAACATGCAGACCCACAGGTACACGCAATGATCTTGCTACTCGTTGCAGTCTGTTGAAATCTATCAGAAAACACTCATGGAATACCCTCCCCTGGTGAATAGTAGGAGAGGATATTTACTAGAGGCTTTGTAACAGGATTCGGTCATGTTTCTTCCAACGGGCAAACAACTTGCTTGCTGAATGGGAAACGCAGACTTCGCGCAGTCGCAGTGAAAACAATTACCAAGCCTAGGCGGTGACTACTATCGTTTGATCCTCCCAGTGCTGTGGCGCACACATTGAGAATAGATAATGGTCACGAAGTTTCGACTACTGTTTTTTTTCCTTCGTATATCCGCCTTGTTCAAGCCGAGACTGTGAGCATCAGAAGGAGACAGCTTGCTACCGAGGTCGTTTCTCGCGTCTGTCGTCGTGCGGTGCCTCACGAGGCCCCCTTTCGGCGCCCACGCAAGTCCTCGCATGGCACACCAGCGTTTTCACGAGACACACCTTACGCCCTGTCGGTACCATCGTTAGTGCCACGTTCTATACAATTTTCAGCTCTATGCTATCTTTTCCGATGGTATATTCCGTAATGAAGATATACGGACACACACAACGGCCAAAGTTTATACTTTATACCATGATGGCTTCTCAGGCACAGCAATTATCCGACCGAGCGAGACTCCAACGTACCTTAGTCAGGGATCACCAGGCCAAGGTTCAGGTCCAGATCAGTATCTGGGGAAGCGAGCTGGAGGAAATGAGGGGGAGTCTAATTTGATGGGATCGATCCGTTTCAGGCATTGTGTGTCTGGGAGACGACGGCTTACACTGCCAAAGAGCTGAATGCTCATGTCTGGGCACATTATCGATTGTGGCTTCGGGGAATAGACCTAAGTGCTCTGAAGTTGGGGGGGCTGAACCAAAGACAACGCGTATGATGAAGTGCCGCCCAGTCACAGAGGACTAATACCCCGACGGGTAAGTCCAGGGTTGCGTTGATGCCCCATGGATCATTGACTCGGACTCGAGCCATCATTTCGTTGTCGCCAAGGCAGACACTGCAATACTGTTCCTCTATGAATTGATGTTGAAGGTCGCCTTGATCAAGATATACTAAAGCCTACCTCGACGAATGTCTCTTGTCCCACTTGGTGAGTGATTGACGTGAACATGCTGCTCGGCATGTCCGAATCATGAGATCTACCTACTGCACCATTGTAGATGGAGGCGCCGACGGTGGCGAAAGAAGTTGGCTCGCATGGTTCATCGAAGAAGCTTAAACAAGCCGGGGCACTCACTCATTGGCAGGGTGATCTTGAGCGTAGGCAGGTTGCAGGGAAAGCACATCCCAATGCTCGGTCAGGAGGGTGGGTGGGCGACAAGGGGGGGATGTGAGAAATGACGAAGCCGTCGGGTGTTTTGATGTGTTCGACGGTGAATAAAAGCGAGGAATAGAGCGCCACGTGCCAGGGTCGATGCGGGTAGGATCCCGTCTGGTATTTGCTGAGAGGGTGGCTTTGGAATGCCAGGTATCTGGCTTCTGCTTTGACTGGCATTTTACCTGATCTCAATCAAGATGAAGAGAGCGATGCATAGCACACAATCTTCGGTGAGGTTTCGTTTGAGCTGTGCTTTTTCCAGCTGTGATTTGCCTCCCAAACAGGAGATTGGTCCCTTGAAAGATCTCCAAGACCGAGGGTACATCGCGCATGGTCTCCGACGAGTGACATCACGACTCCAACATGCAACAACACTGGAGAAGACTCCCCCTTCGGTGCAACATTCCCTCGAGCATCTGCTAATGATTCGTCCAAGCCGCATCTCAAGCGGGGACGCCATTGCTGAAAGAAGCCACCCTTGTCGATCGGTATCAATCCAACAGCCTGAGGGTGCGCCACCCTTCGGCAGCTCACACCTCACTGAGTGCCTGTGCTTGAGCTGAATTACCTTCGGGCCAGGACAACAGCGTTTCTCCAACAGGTCACATGCTGCGGAGATCCATCATCAATCTTGTACACGACTCGTCAAGTCCCGTCGGTTTCGACCCACGGCACCATCTTCCCTCCTACTCAGACCTTGGCCACCCATTGATGCCCATCGGTCACTCCAGCTCAATCCTAGCACCTTGTCCCGGCCACCTTTCTTGGCCTCTTTCTAGATTGTCTCTTAGCGTTAGTCCCCCACCACACGCTGCCAGCAATCATTGAAGCTTCTGCTTGCCCCCGCGACGCTTCCCCAAACCCCAGACGCCCCCTGGTTTCGAGGGAGGCGGAGAAGAGCTTGGGGTGGCCCCTCTTTCTTCTTTGCTTCGACTACCTGCTCCACCGGACTTACTGTACGGCAATCCTGCACTGCTGGATCCGGCGGGCGTATTGACCAACTTGGGAACGTGCCAAATGATGCGCCTGCTCCCCGGCTTTCTCTAGACCAGGTTGCCCCAGAGCAGCAACCCCAAACCACCGAGAAAGTGACCGGTCGCGCCGCGTGGTCTATCCCCGAGCCACGTTAAATAGCACGTCGTTTCCCCCCTCTCGTGTCTCTCGTCTCCATCCCACTCCCGTTCCAGAGACGTGGTTCACAGATACAGTTGCCGATCTTACCCCCTCCTAGCCAGATTTGTCCCATCTGTTCCGTCCTGAACAGACCGCGCACCATGGGCGTCAAGGAATTCTTCAAACGCAGGAGCCTGCGAGCGAAGAACGATGTGCGCACCAACGCCGCTGAGATGACTCTTCGGGAGTCTCTCTTTCCCATCGTTCTCGTAACAACTCTATTCTTCCTCTGGGGCTTCTCTTACAGTATGTTTCCGTGCAGACTATGGATGTGATTTTGCATTAAAGCCACCTGCTAACACGCACTCAACAGGTCTTCTTGATATCCTCAACAAGCATTTCCAAAACGTTCTTCACATCAATCGTGCCAGGTCTGCCGGCCTTCAAGCTGCCTACTTCGGTGCTTACCCGCTAGCCTCGCTTGGCCACGCTGCTTGGATCCTCAGGCACTGGGGTTACAAAGCCACATTCGTCTGGGGCCTCTTCCTGTACGGTCTAGGATCTATCATCGCCATCCCATGCATCATCAATGAGTCGTTCGGTGGTTTCTGCGCTGCCATCTTCATCATCGGCAACGGTCTCGGTTCCCTCGAGACCGCCGCGAACCCTTACATCGCCGTATGTGGTCCTCCAAGGTACTCCGAGGTCCGGTTGAACGTTTCTCAGGCCTTTAACGGCATTGGCACTGTTGTCTCGCCTCTCATCGGTGCCAGGGTCTTCTTCGGCTTTGACGACGAGAAAGCCCTCGAAAACGTCCAATGGGTCTACCTTGCTATTGCTGCCTTCGTCTGGGGTCTTGCTATCGTCTTCTGGCTCGCGCATATCCCAGAAGTCACCGATGCCGACATGGCGTACCAGGCCCAGGAAACTCACGCCGGATTCGACGAAAAGCCTTTCATCAAGCAATACCGCCTCTTCCACGCCGCTTTCGCACAATTTTGCTACACGGGAGCACAAGTGGCTATAGCCTCTTTCTTTATAAACTGTATGTCGCTCCCCCGCCCTGGCTGACCGTGTTCTCGATGTTCTGTTGCATCTTGAAAGCCTTGCCCTTTCACTCCTAGCACCAGGGTCTAATCTTATACACTACAGATGTCCGAGAGACAGGCGCTGCCTCAACAGACTCCCGAGCATCGAACTTGTTCGCCGGCGCCCAGGGTACCTTCGCGGCGGGCCGATTCATTGGTGCCGGTATCATGCACTTTGTGAAGCCCCGTAAGGTGTTTCTGGTGTTCCTCTCGTGCTGCTCTATTTTCCTCGTTCCTGCTGCCATCAAGACTGGCACCCCTGGCATGGCCATGCTTTATCTTGTTTTGTTCTTCGAGTCGATTTGCTTCCCGACCATCGTGGCTCTCGGCATGCGGGGTCTCGGACGCCACAGCAAGCGGGGTTCCGGATTTATCGTGGCTGGTGTGTCGGGTGGCGCCTGCGTGCCACCGCTCATGGGCGCCGTCGCCGATATGCACGGTAAAGGCGGCAACAACATGGGCGTCGCCATGACCGTGCCTCTCGCCTTTATGGTTGCCGCGACATCCTATGCCGTTGCCGTCAACTTTGTGCCGCGCTACCGCAATGTCGCCGACGCCTTCACAGCTACCGAGGTTGGCGTGCACAACACGTCTGTCGACGAGGAGAAGGTTCGCGCTCAATCGATCGAGGAGACACAGGTGCGCAATGCCGCCCCTACTCTGTCGTAGAGGGAATTGATTTCCACGACAATGTGCAAGCTTCATAGCCGTGAATTTGAATGAAGAGACATTATTTTGATGCAGTCAACTGCTCGATTATGGTGAACGGACTAGAATCAGTGTACCAGTGACATCAGACGCATCTAACATCATGCGCCACCTTGTAATCGACCACAGCCACCGGAAGCGAAGCTTAGCGCAAGCAATCAAACAATTTTTCTATGGTTCGTGAGCAAGATATAAGATTCAATAACCTTGCCTTGATCGACGGCGGATGTGACACCCATAACCTGTCAGCTCGTCGCCCTCCCCAATGTTATAACCGGGGGCCATGCACACACTCGCATGCATGACCGAGTCAAAAACGCAAAACATACAACACCAGGGATTCGCTGGTGGTCACCCACCCAACTACTAGTCTGGCCCTTATTGGTTTATCGCTGGGAGAGCGGACGGGATCCCGAGTTTTCCAATAGGTGTGGTCGTATGTGCTAGTCGAGGAGCCCGAGACCGATTATGAGGCTGTGTCGTGGAATCTGTTAGCATGCTTAGCAACTGAGGACGGTTGGCACGAATATTTCAGACCGGCGGCGGTTCTGCTTACGATGTAATGCTAGTTGGAATGCTGAGTGGAGGCACAGGCCTGGTTCACTAGCTCGCGGGCTCTCGTTTAATATTGTCTCGAGCCTGCCCTGAACTCTGGTACATCTGGTGGAACTTTTGCAAGGGATCGCGTGATCGAAGATCTTGGTAAACCATCGAGCAGTGCTTGTCAAGGCCGGCTACCAATCATTACACATCATGGCATTCGGGGGTCCCCATGGCTTCTTTCTGGACGATGAATGATCATTCTCGAGTTTTGTAGTAATATGGTGACTGAAGTGACTGGTGATAAACCTTGGAGTATCCAAGATGAGTATCTTTCAACGTATTGTTCGGCTTGGTATTCAATGAAGCTGAGAAGGTATATTAAACGTCTTGACTGACAAACTGTAGCTTCAAGACCTTTGGACTTGTGTCGTGTTTCAGGAAGCCGGTGAGCATAGTCAACTTTCCAGGCTCCCAAAGGGCACATCGCGTACAACATTGCATCATGCCTGAGTCAAAACAACTGGCATCCTATTCAGTGGAACTTGGGAGTCCCCTAGCTTCAGTCAGTCGCTTGAGGTCATTTGAACCGATGTCACAAGGTCGCTATAGCATAGCTAGAGCTGTCGTGTGTCGCGTTGTATATTATAGTAACTTGTTCCCTATGTAGAGACTGAATATGTGTGTTCGGTATCACCCGCTCAATGGTATCTCCCTTTCACCAACCCTCCAAGCACTCCTAAGTCCCGCCCAAGAATTGAATCGCATGCTGGTCTTATCATCATTGTGTGCAAAAGTCTTAGGTCTTGAGGATATCAGCTGCAACGACAATGCCGGCCGCAATCTTCGAAACCCATTCCTGGGCAACATCAAAGTTGCCATCCTCGGCATACTGAATGCCCTCAGTGGCACCAGCAAAGGTGACAGCAGCATATCCGGTGTCCAAACCAGGGGCCGTAACGACATGCCTGTAGAACTCGCGGTTGGGCAGACCACCCTGTGAAACAAAGCCGCGCTGGAAGTGTATGTACTTGTGGTTGACAACATCCTTCAGGTTTTGATCATTGGTTGTGACAGCCAGCTCCTCGAGAGCCTTGGCCTCACCTGCCCTCTTTTTGAAGACCTCGATTGCGTCCTCAAGCTCGGAGAAATCGAGGTCAGCGTCATTGTCAGCAGCAAATTCAACAAGGTCATCGAGGTAGGCTTGAAGCTCAACTCCATAGTTGACAACGTCGAGAGGCAGAATCTCATCGTCGAGGAGGTGGTACGCAAGGAGAGCAAGGTACTGGCCCTGGCTAGCATGCACGTGGAAGCCGGCTAAACTTTTGTGAGCACGTTATTACGTTGATAGTTCAGGGTGACTTACGGTCTCCTAGGGTAGCCATCCAATGGTAGGTGTCGTAGCTAAGATTCATGTCAGCATTCAATGCTCGTCGTTCAACTGAGATAGACTTACTTGGAGTGATACGGCCAGATTGGGTCGGTGGGACCTCCACCTGACCCAACGTCCAGGGAGCTGATACCACGGTGAAGGAAGGCGGTATAGTCAGAGCCTGATCCCAGTGTAAGCCAAGATATCTTCTACGGCCATATATAGGCAACTGGCACTCACCGGAGCCGAGGACACCAACAACACCACCGGAAGCCTCCTGCCATGAATCGTACAGAGATTGGTTGAAGCCTCCAAAATTAGGGTGAATCACTTTCTTCATAATCTCGGTGCCAATCGTGTGCAACCTGTGTTTGTCAGCTGATGCCTTGGGCTGGATATGGGCTCGACCGTTGGCTTACTCAGGAGTGGCTGAAAGATCCGGGCGAGGGCCCGATACCTGTAAAGGTCAATTGTATTCTTCCCACTTGATGATTTCCAAGTGCTTACAGCAACGTCAATATTGAGGTAGGCAATCAGGGTTTCAGTAAGCTCATTGATGTGCTCCTCGACGTACTCGACACTTCCGATGAGGCCTGCAAGAGTCAGTCATGTGCTTGTAGAGATCACCCTTGCAGTACTCACCCCATTCTTCGGCATCCCAACTTCCCAGTACCAGGTTGCGCTTGGGCTTCCAACCAGAGTCAATCAGCTTCTTGATGACCTTGCTAAACTCGATGAGGATGGCAGAGCCAGAGTTTGGATCGCCGTTTCCTCCGATCATCCATGTGTCTCTGTGGTTGCCAATGAATAAGGTCTCTTTAGCAGGGGTTCCATCGTGGTTGGTGCCGTTGATGCGACCAATAACATTTTGGATCGGGCGAATGACATCCTCGCTGACCTAACGTCGGCTTGCGTTAGAATGATGTACGGCTGCAGATAGCGACGAATGCTTACATTGTCAAGCTCAAGGGTAACGCCGGGCGCAGGGCCGGTGAAGTACTCTGCGTCAAGGCCGCCGATCCAGTTGGTACGGTTGACCTGCTCGCCAGAAATGCCGTGGCCGTTGAGAGCCTTGAGCAAAGGTTCGGCAGCGGAGTAGGAGATAGGGACTGAAGGAATCTTGGCGATGACCTTGATCTGTTAGCAGATATTCGTCCCTCTGACCGTGTCACTCACGTCAGAGACATCGGCACGCGGGGCGTCCTCGTGCGATGGGTAGCCAGGGGTAGTTGGATCTCTATATCAGGGTCAGACGAGGAACTTTGATTCGAAAGGACCTTCATACCCAGGATGGGTGCTGTCATGAACAAAGTCAGTCAACGTTTCATCGGGGAAGAAAGGGTCATGGCATACCTGAGAAACAGTGTCGAACCCTTTTGGACTTGGTGCGGGTTCCTTGCAGGACCCTCTGCATGTTGTCAGTACGCGGATCGGCCTGATACCGTCATTGTCTTGCGACTCAGGCGAGCAGCAACACTTGAAACGCACCTGGATACGCCTTGTAGCCGTTTGCAACAGTCACTTCGCCATCATCACCAGGGTCGAGGTAAATCTACTCAATTGTTAGTGGTTATTGTTGTGCAAAAGAAGTTCTTGGACCGTGGACGTACTACGGCAGCCACGGCACGGGCGTCTTGCGCGTTCTTGACCTTCAAGCCACGGAAGAGGCCTCCATAGCGGATCAATGCGATCTTGCCCTTTACATCGACACCCAACTTAGCAAGAGCCTCAAAGTCAGCGATGGAACCGCGACTACCATCGAGTCAGCCCACTTGTACGACGTTTCATCTGTGCAGAGCTATTGCGCCACTTACCCAGCGTAGACGTATTCAGCCTTGGCATGGCCAGTCGGTGCGTACCCAAGGAAGGTCTGCTGGCTGATGGCATCCCAGCCGGTGACCTCGTCGTCTTCAATAACATCCTCCTTAAGGTTGACTTCTGAGACATTGCCTTCGGCGTCGGTGAAGTTCAGCGCGGCACTGACAGGGTACCGAAGAAAGACGTGATATTCGTTCAGGTGGCTCTCAAACCCGTTGGATGCCCACTTGTCACGCGTCCACTCGGCAGCCTCCTTGCCGAAGCCGCTGTTCAGATGTTAGCATGGATAGTGCTCGTACAATTATTCGGTCCTCCTGTGCATACGCAAGCTTGTTTTGTCGGCCGTAGTATTCGGACCACTCGTCGATGGTCACATTGTCAAAAGAGTTAGCGATTAGCGTCTCCTGCTCTGTCAACACAGGAGGCCAGACGTCGTTGCGCCGAAGAATAGGTTTGCGGTGAGTATGCCGAGCTTCGATGTTGAAGTCACGCTGGCACGCGGAAGCACCGGCCGCAAACGCCAGAACTGCGGACAACTGCTGGGTACGCATGATCACGATGCCTGGCAGTGACAATGGGAAAGAACTGGAGGGGATTGTGACGGATGGTCTGCCAGTGGGCGGCGGAGAAGGATCGGTAAGCCTTTATGCACGCCAGACGTACGACAGGTATTGTTAGCATTGCTCCTCTCATGATGCCATCGGCCCAGCCGGGCGGCGTCGGCTTGATGACCGGCTCAGGAAACTTCAACGCAGCGGCGCAACTGATTGGCAATCGTTCAATACAATCAATCACCCACGCTCTGGTGCCTGTAGAGGCGCTGACTTGTGCTCACCGCGACAACAAAGATCGTCATCCCGAACGCTGCGGGGTAGCTTCCCTTCGGAGCTCCAAACACACCACTTGTCGAGCTTGGGATTGGCTTATGCGGTGTCGTCATACCTCACCAAGACCTAGGCACTTGACTCAAACACACCGGTTCAGGAAGCTCGTTCATGCCGACGGCGTCGGGCTTCTGCGGGTGGCTGCGTGAGAGAGGTTGATCGGGGCATTTCACCTGCCCGATTTGTGATAGAGCTGTGGCCTGTTGGGCGGGGTCAGAGTCAGCCAAGGACGTGAACATGCAACCCAAGCTCCATAACCTGTCAATGCAGCTCTAGCACCTGCAGCCGGCCTCTCCGCCAAGTTATGACGGAAGGCTGGCAGGCAGTGGAATTGTTCCGGGAGATCAGCTAAGCATTTACTGAGATGGATTGTCCAACAGCGTAAACGTTCACCACCAATTATGTAGAGCAAACTATATCCGGCTGTGCGCTGTTTAACATGCGTTTGCGGTTATTCTATATGCTCGCGATGTAAAACAGAGTGAAAGATCTTTGAACTACTCGACCGAGGCTTAGCGTTCGCGTCGCTGACATCGAACATGCAGCTTGCTGTTCGTCTCAGTATCCTGGGTGAGCAGGTTGTTCTGTCATCGCTGCATGGCACCACCAGCTCGCCTTGGTTGGTCGATTCCACCCCTGTCGATCTTTGTACGACAACCACGAGGTCTTCGAACACAGGAAGCAGCCCTTGCTCTCTGTCTTGGGCCTGCGAGCTGGAAATCATTCTCACGCAGCACGGCGTAGACGCAGCCCTGCATGCTAGACCAAGCTGGCCATGTAAATCAGCTCGCCGATCCGCCACGCTTCTGCAGGTGTTACGATCCTAAGAATCAGAAAAAAGAGCTAGCATTTCATACCTAGTGCTGTCATGACTGATGAAAACACTATTCGAGATCAAAATATCGAATGCTTTGCCACGCTGGGCTTGAGGAATCCCTCGCCAAGGTATTGAAAGTCAGAAATTACGCTGGAGGAAGGCTTTTCTAACAAACCATCGCCGTTTAGTTTGGTCGGATTCTTGAGGAAAGCCTCTTGCGGTTTCCACAAGGCCATAGCCTCGCCTCATGTACCAGGCTTGAGTGGATACCTAATACAAGTGACAGTAAGAAACCACAAAACGGCGCCTCGCCGAACGAACACGACTGACCTTGGGAGTATTACCTCCGAAGAAGGCTTCGGCTCTATCGGAGCGCATCTGATCTTCAAACTCAACGAAAGCCAATACCAGCGTTTTGGCTTTGAAGTCCTGCACTGCCAGATTCTCGATACAGGCCATGGCTGTCCGTCCGATACCACTGCCTTGTAGCGCTGGAGAGACATACAAGCTGTTGATCCACTAAGTCCATCCTGGGTCGTTATTGAACCTAATTAATCATTCATAATGTTTGTAAGCATCGATTGAAACATGTCCGAGTGGCAAATGGCGACAGTGATGCTGTCCCATGAAAAGATGTGTTCGTGTCAATCAGTAGGGAATTTCCTTAGGCCAAGCTGCTGCGCCGATTTCGGGACCCAAGTCTCACGACTCACAAGCTCGTATTGCTGAGTTTGTGTGTGGAGGAAGAATTCTTTGCGAAGGTAACCTGTGGGCAAAACCCAGCTTGTTAGTATAAATCCAACGACGGCAAAGAACGGCATCGCTGACAATCCAGTAGAGGCCTTTCGCTCCTCTCCTCTGGTCTTCTGTCCAACTTTGCCTCACATCTTTCGACTGCCATCCGCATACCAGGCGTTGCTGACAGAGCCGTTCGATATGGTCCTCGGACGCTGAATCCCACAGGGTCAATGTAATTGAAGATCCGGCCATTGTGATTTGTGACCAATTTCGCCAGCCGTGAGCGTTGCGGAGTTGCTCCGAGTGAAAGCGTGATATATGTCTTTCACGGCCGGGCGATATCAGCGTTTGCAACTAGAATGTATGCAACCATGTTCGTTCAGTAATACTCTGTATGGGAGTGGGACGCCGTCAGGCATATCGCGTCACCGAATCATACCGTGTCTCAATTCTCACGAGTGGGCCAACACGGCGATGACGTGCCCGCGACCAGGCTGCCAACGGTTATGTGGCCCCTATATTCGACGAGCACCTCCGCCAGAGTATCACTTGGCACGTAAAAAAAAAAGCTGATATGAAAGCTGATGCGGTGAAGTATGGCGAGAAACATCGTGTTGGGGAACGGGGTCGCCTTGATGAAAGTCTCTTTGCTCAGGCAAGATTAATTGTTGCCAAATCAATACCGACCGGGAACAAACCTGCTCCGAGACACAGCTGCGACGTTTCGAGCTATTCTTTCTGGCTGTCTCGTCCGGCCTCGGACGTGGACAGTGTTCCACAGCCTTTGACGTACTAGGCTCCACGCTTGATGAATCCAGGCATCTCGGTGCTCATGCCCTTCTGACAAGAGCACCACGCTACACAAGTATGGAACACAAGAGCACCAGAAGGATACACCAGAAGCGAGGGTTTTTCAGGGTTTTATGGAAAGCGTCTAGATGCGAAAAAAAAAACCAATCTCAATCTGGATATCTCATGTCATGCCTGCACGCAACACAGAATGCAACGACGGTTGGTCTCGGCCCCGTCAGATACAAATGAAAAAACGGTGTCCGAAGGGGAAACTTCACCGCCAAAGTGTAGAAGAGCCCCGCTCGTGGCCTTTTTCTCCTCCGAAGAGGAGAGAAAGGAAGAAGAATTAAACGCCATTCCATTCCCCTAATCACCCCCCGTCTTTGGTTCAGAATTGAAACGCCTCTTTTGAATGCTCTAGATGTTGTGATGCGTGCTCGCTGAAACGCTGTTTCACGACTAGTGGTCGTTGAAGTCCTCGTCTCTGTTGTTTTGTTAGCACGAAGCTCGCCGCAACGATGGGATGTGGCGGAAATGTGCTTACCTGCCCGGGTACATGATGTCCTGGATAATGACAGCGCGGGTGTGGCTGTAGAGAACCATGCAGTACGTCAGGAACAGCACGATGCTGAGACCGGTACCAACAGACTTGACCGCGTCGTTCCCAAGGGCGTTGGCGATAGAGATGGTGGCCAGGACGAAACCAGTATTGGGGAAGACCATGGCCCACCAGCCAAGATGGAAGTACACGGGTGGCGCCTGGACAACGGCAGCGACGGCAATGCCCCACCACCAGGCGGCGAGAGCCCAGAGGAAGATAGCCGACATGAGCGCCATGGTGCGGATGAGGCCGGCGTCGATAAGGAATCCGTCGCCATCGGGGTCAAAGTTGTCGGGAAGGCCCTGGGCCATGCCAATGAGGGCGAGAGCCGTGAACGAGGGCGGGCCGACACACATGAATAGACCGGGTCGGTGCTCGCGGTTGGGTAGACCAGCTTGCATCAGGCGGCCAACCATGTGGGAGTACATGAGGAGAGCGACAGACATGCCAAGGCCCTGGCAAGTCAGACCGGCAACAATGATTGGCACAGCTGAGATATCAGGCTGGGTGTCGGCGATGACGGAGGCTATGGTGCCAGACAGCATGACCGGAAAGATAGGTAGAATCCATGTAGGCATCATGGTCTGCAGGCCGAAGCTGTGGGCGGAGAAGACAAAGCTCTGTTTTGGCAATGGGTTAGTAACGTAAAGTTGCAGAAATCAGGCGCTGGGAGAGACAAACGTATTGGAAGATGGCGAGAGAGATGGTCATAATCACATAGGCCCAGAAGGCTACCTGAATACCCCAGATGAGACGGTCATCGTCGAGGGGAATGGCATAGCGTTGCGTGCTCGTGATGAGAGTGGCGCACGAGAGGAAAAATGTCGGGAAAAAGAAACCCTCTCGCTCGTGGGTTAATGATTTTGTAAAGTCGCCAGGGAAGAGGAAGAATCGGGCCAGAAGCATCGTTGTGACACCGGTGAAGAGAATAATGTTGATGATGTAAACCGCGAGACCAATTTGCCTGAGGCCAGTGAATTGAAAGGGCTGCGCAAATATGAGCAGTGAAAGACCGCCGGTACTCATGACAAGCGTGTACCATGCCCAGGTGAAGTGGTGAAGGCGCTTCTTCAGTCCGTACCTCGGCCGATTGGGGTCATTGATGTCGATGCCGCCGTGATCATCGTGGCCGTGTGCAGCGGGAGCGGGCGGGCCGGCGCCCTTCTCGACCACCGGTGTGACGTTCTTGTACTCGGGCTGCATGTTGCGCTTGAGGCTGTCGATGTCGACCTCGAGACGGGAGGAGCCCGGGCGGTTCATTTTGTAGTCGTACGAATTCCTGCGCGTCGATGATCCTGATTCGGTCCAAGCTGAGCCCTGAGGTTGGCCCCGATTCATGGCGGTGTTCTAGAACGATGGAAGCGGCTGCCAAGTTCGTGGCAGTCGATTGTCTGTTGATCGCTCGCGTAGTCCAATGTGAGATGCCAAGTTGATCAAGATGTAGCCAAGGACGAATCCAGTCGTGGGTGGGTGTGATGGTTGTATAAGCCAAGCAAGCCAAGAGAAACAAACCAATGCAGCCAAGCTTGTCGGAATGGAACACAAAGAAAGGAAGAAAGAGAAAAGGAGATACCGCTATACAGGAAGTTCAACTCTCGTAGATCTACATCGAGGCTTGGAGGGGCCTTGGCTGGTATGATATACGATTGACAACAGTCCAAAGGGGGGTCAGTATTACGTGGGGACAGACTTTGCTGCCTCCCGGTGGCTCCATTGTTGAGCTGGGCCATGAAGTGTCCACCGTCGGCAGAGTAAGACTTCGTCCTTTCGTTGAAACAGAACGCCAAGTTTAGCAGGGCTCACACTCGCCAAGACTCTGACCCTGCAACCCGTTTTTGGCAACCTCTCTGAGGAAGCAGAGCCGCAGCCTACCATCCGGGCCGCACCCTCCCTGCCTCAGACTGACTGGGCTGCACCCTGTACGGTAGAGAGAAGCGGGTCTCGAGGCGACCGCACGTGTTTCTTCTATTCAAAGTCGTGGTCCGTGTGGGGGGAAGGCCGAAGGGGAGGTTCAAGGACGGAGGAGACACCCCCACGGTCAGACGCGCGGAGGAAACCGGGAGTCGCAAGTGAGCTTTCCAGTGGATAAGGAACCGTGGACACGACAGCAAGGATTGGCTATCGTGTACTCTCCAGTTGCATTGGGTTGTAAATGATCATCGTCGGCCATGACGAGACCCATCACAGTGAGACGTTCTCTAGGGTTCACGATTATGAAGGCTACTGTGGCCAATGTCCTCTCATTGCCACGAATGCCGGGTGCGACCGCTAGAGGGTTAGCGGACTGTAGACGCTGATCGACTACTGGGGTACTCACTCTGCGGCTGGTGCAGCCGCGCAGAGCCGCGATGCCGCCCGTGTGTCGTATTAATAGATGCGCGTTTTTGTTATTCTTGCTTCAGGCAAGCAGCTGGAACACCAGATGGATGGGAAATCCCCTTCAGGGTGCTGCCCAGTATGCCTAAATTGGAGGTGTGGGCGGGACAACTTTGTTTCGCCATGACGTGCGCTCTGACCCCTGACGAGATAAGGAGGTCTCGAAACGGCGGCTCGCTGTCGCGGCGATAGGTCAAATCGCGTCGGTGCTGGAGCCTCACATGTGCCAGCAACGTCCATCTCAAATTTTAATGCTTCTTCCCAAACCGGTGTTTGCCGTTCTGGGCCTCGGATCCGCCTGCTCTGCTCCACCACCCCTTGAGCTTATCCGGCCCGCCGTGAATAGCTTCATCAATTTCATCTCGACTTAGACGGCCGACCCGCCAAGACGAAACACTGCGCCCACCAAAATTGGGGCCCGGCCAGCTCCTCGACACGGTCGATTGAAATAGAGTCATAACGCAGTGGGACTTGAGATAAGGCGCCATTCAGCTCAGTATGCGGTGATAGTGAACGCATCGACAATAATACAGACGACCTAGAGGCAAAACCGTCTTCGACTCATCTGTTCGTCAAGTCGCATCAATGATGAAACGTGCTGCTTCAAGCACCTCATTCGCGGCGATAGAATATCCAATGAGGTATCATCTGGCCCGATAGCACCAATCCAGCCACATCCAGTGCAATGACTGAGCTCGTCGCTCGGTCATGACGATCACGTTGATGATGCTGGCAGCGGAGTCCCGCCGCATCACTTTCGGGTAGACAAGACCTACTGCCATCGCTGCAACTTGCGAAGCTCAAGGTGTCCTCTCCTTTGCCAAGAATTATGAAAAGCAGCCTCCACCCCCTTCAGATTCCTCTTAGAGATGCCCATGGGCCTCGACATTGATCTTGTTTCGGCCTCCCATCTCCCTGTGTCCCAAAAAAGAAGGAATTCATGGGAGAGGCATTTGGGCATTGGATCATCTGCAAAACTGCAACCCCCACAGGGAACACACTGACAATTAGGGGCCGCTCCGCGCGGCGGCCATGTCCGATGGCCTAATTCTGATGGATCCTGTACCCTTCTGGGCGAGCAGGAAGCTGCATACCTGTTTGCGTCAGGCTGGGTCTGCTGCTTGGTGTGCGAAATTGGAATTATCACTCAAGCTTGGCCAGGCTCATCGTGCGTCAGGGGCGAGGCTGAGCCCGTAGGTTGGTGGCCACAGCACTTCAGATCCAAGCGGAATGCCGGTCGGGTTCTCATGTGCAGGGCATCCAAGCAATTCAGCAAGCTTGGTGTAAAGCACTTGATCTCGATTCGGCTGGTTGCCCAATAGACCCTGGGCAAGATACATTGGATTCGTCGCTGATCGCAATATCGAGTGTAGCGTCTGCGTCGAGGTCGGTCAGCTCGGTCAAGTGGTCAGTCATTTGTGAGGAACTAGAAAACTCACCTCGGCGTCTTCTCTCGGCGTTGAGCGAGGAGTTCCAGGCGTGATGACGAGGGGGCTTTCCACTGCTGAGCCTTCGTGCGCTTCCTGGACGGCAAGCTGAGCTGTTCGCTGCAACGTAGCACAGGATCTGAGAACCCTGTTGAGGCTACATCGTTCCTCGCGCTCAAACCGTTGCAGAAACCGAGAGAAAGACCTCGTTGCTTGTAAAAGTTTGATCGCCTGCGCCGTTGCGGGTTCATCCAAAATATCTGTGATCAATACAAGAACAGCACATAGTGGATACGCCAAATTTCTCCTAAACGCCGTGTTAACCCCGTCATGGGTTGCAAATTCGTCAGATCGTGGCTCACCAGAGGAAAGTGTACGGAGGTTCTCTGTATGTGCAGTAAATCCGAATCACGGCCTGTGCTGCTGATCGAGATCGGAGCAGACAGTGCCGGGAGCGAGGCACATCGTAATGAAGGATGGGATCCAAGTGCGACTGGGTCCTCTCCACACGAAGTGCAATGGGACCGTCCTCGCTGCTATGCCTTAACGCCCAGTGGGTCAATAAGAGACAGTTGTTGAAAACGAGGAAGACATCGAGTTTGTCGCCTTGCAAGCTGTCTCCGTCCGAAATTCCGTCCACAATTTCATCGTCTAAAGTACCTGGTAACGAGTTTTTCCATCCGTCGAGAAGTACTTCACAGTCCAGAATGGTCTGGAAGGTTTGGCCACCGTCGAGCTTGAAGCTCTTAGCCGTGTATAGTCGTCGAGAGATTTGGGCTTCAATCTTGGCCAGCTGAGCCCGCAGGCGAAACCAGGGCACAACTGTACCCCCGGTTTCTGGCAGATCAATCTCAATATCGTCGTCGCTGATTATTGGCGGGACGCCATGCAGGATACTCATCGACTTGTCCAATATATACGTGGACCAGAAAACGCAGTCTTGTATTCTGCTCACTTCGCCAGTATGCTTCGAACAGGCGCCCCTTTGAAAACCAAGACGAATCGACATGGCCGACGCGGACGATGCAAGTGAAATTGCCAAGCTGGTAAATAAGGTGCCCTGCATCCAAATGGCCATGGCGACGATTGCATTCACAGCAATGGCGTCGTCGCCTCTGGCTAAAAGGTCTGGCAGCGCCTCGAAGGCGTTCATGAAAAAGGACCAGATGGGCCGGTGCATCAGGAAGCACGATTCGTTTAGACACTTGAGGCTTGCGCCCAAGGCGATACAAGCATTTGCGTACGCCCAACCTCCGGCGCTTTCGAACAATTCGTCAGCTCCAGAACGTCTTTCCGTGGCCGAAAGACCACCATAACGAGGCAGGAAGTTGGCGAGGTTGAGGGCTGGGAACGTCTCCATGACGTGATCGGCCAGGGGAAGCCACAATGTGATGGCATCGTGACGCTGCAGGCCTGCCGTGTAACAACGGCGAACAAAGGTAGGGCCAGTGAACTTGGGTTGTGGGGTGCTCATCCATCTTCTGATGGCGCCGACAAGCGGCATCCTGGCGTGGAGTTCTGACATGACTCCGAGATCAGGAAACAAGACCTCTGTCTCTTGCTCAGGTTCTGGAGCATCTGCTGATGTGGATTTTGCATTCGAGGGATCCTGCGTGTCCGGGATGTCAGGGGCCAGTCCAGTCACACTAGCTGCAGGCTGAGCATCTGCAGTTGAAGGACCTGGGGCAATTTCCGGTTGGGAGATCCCAGCGTGCTGTAGAGTCGATTCCATCTTAGAGAGTCGTTCTTCTAGCGCGCGAACATATTCCTTACTGCGATGTGTTAATTGACCGTCGAATGCATTATTGTGGTTGAGGCAAGACTGACTTGCGGCCGGGGCCACGCCTCCTTGGGGCCACATCGTAGACACACTCATGACCCTGGCTGAGACAGGACGAGCACGATGGCCTACCTCGTCGCACCGGCTTTTTCTTGATCGGCATCTCTTGCAGGCCTGTCATCGTTACTAACTGATTTGGATGGGTCCAGTCGGAAGGGTTGCGCCTTTACCTGCTGGGTTCGATGTGCCCTCTCAGCCTGTTGATTTGATGCCGACATGGCTGTTTCTGGTTGGGGGGGTGTGAGCCACTTTGGTTAGGTACTTGGGTACTTCAGTCGTGGATCCTAGAGCTTGGCAATCAATCGTCAAGGGATCGCGCAGTCATCATAGGAGCTTAGAAGGTCGGCTGGAGTAAGCACCCGCTGGTGCCTGGTGCATGATGTAAGGTCCAAGACCTGGACCGAATTGAACGGAGACCGAAAAGTGCTGAAATGTTATTGTTGAAGGTCGAGGATTTGTCAATCGAGGCCTCAATGTTCCCGCCAGTGGCTGGTGCCAGTCGAGGTGGAGAGTTCATCGGGGGTATTTTGGTTCCGAAACACATGGACCTTGGACGTCGCAGCTTTTTCCATGAGCCTCAGCCCGGCCGGTGCACACCCATAGTTACAAGGTGATGTTTTGATTCCGGAGGTGAACACTTCGTGTACGATATTCTTGAGCGACGTCTATGTACATCCTCGCCACTGAGACTCGGTCGCTGAAGAAGGCGATGCGCTGAGTAGTTACAATGATGGCCCTGTATTTGGTACTGACGTTTTGGTTTAGGGACGTTTGAGACGGTGGTGTGTTCTTTGGAATCAATTTACATCCGAATCATCACCATTCGCACAACACCGTTTGTAAACTCGCCGCGGCGGTTCTTTGGAATGAATATTAAACGCCATCAAGGTCTCGTCGGCAGTGTAGATTTTGAATGGAGAAGCACCAGATTAAATCTCATTACCACTGTCATCCGTTCCTTATCCATTCCCAGTTTCACCCTGCCAACTACCTGATTCAAGTCCTTTACCGCGACTCAAAATGGCTGTTATTGCTGTTGCAGGCGGTACCGGCAACGTCGGCCGTACCATAGTTCAGGCTCTTGTTGCAACGGGCAAGCACGAAGTCAAGATTCTCGGTCGCAAGGTGAGTAGCTATCTCGTCAATGAATTGGTTAGGATTGTCACTAATGAAATCGAAGCCCAACTCAGAGCTTGAGATAGAGCTCGGAGCAGCCATCATCCCAGTTGATTATGTCGATGTTGCGGCTACCACGAAGGCGCTGGAGGCTAACCATGTCCATACCGTCGTATCGGCCATCGCGATGATGCTGCCTGATGGCAGCGTGCCCCCTGAAGAGGACCTTATTCGCGCGGCCGATGCCTCCAAGACTACCAAGAGGATGATTTCCAGCGGATGGAGCATTCCTCACTCTCCCGGGTACGTCCTCTGCACGGGTATATCTTAGTTGCAGAAATGATACTGACTCTGTTGAAGGCAAATTAAAGACCTCCCCTCAGTCGCTCCCAAGCTCAATGCCGAGAAGGCTCTCCAGAACACAAAGGACCTCAAGTACACCATCGTGCATAACGGGTTCTTCCTTGACTACTGGACTTCCAAGCCGACGAACATGACGCCGATGACCATGATTGTTGACATTGCCAATAAGGCTGCCGCTGTGCCGGGTGACGGAAACACGCCCATCGCCTTCACCCACACTACAGATGTTGCGCAATTTGTCGCCGCCCTCATCGAGGCTGACAAGTGGGAGGCCCACTCTACGATTGTGGGCGACAAGGTGTCCTGGAACGAGTTTGTGAAGCTGGCTGAGGCTGCACAGGGTAGGTTTCCGACCACACGCCCTCATGAATGTACCCTTAATTACTGACGCAGGGTATAGGCTCCAAGTTTGATGTCGCACATGACTCGGTTCAAGATCTCGAGAACGGCAAGGTGACCGAGCTCCCCGGCCACGTTCACGCCTACCAGTTCATTCCCAAGGAGTTCCTTCAGGGACTGAGTTGTTCATTTGGGCTTTGGTTCGCCAGCGGTGCATTCGATCTCACCCCATCGCCCCTTGCTTCGAGCATCCAGACCCTCAAGGTTAAGGAGGCGCTTGAGTATAAGTAGGCTAGAAAAACGATCGCAGTAGTGATGGCTGAATAACGGTCTCAATGAAATAATCAATCGATGACTTTGAAGACCAATTCCGCGCTCGCAATTTTCTATGAAACGAAGGTTCCTCGGCGCAAATTTTCGAGGCGCCACTTTCTGAACCTCCGTGAACGTTGCTATTATCGAAAATGCTTTCACTTGAGCAACTCTCAGGCAAGCTGCCCCGGGCTCACGTCAAGTCAAATCTATAGGACTGTACTTCCCCTCGCCTCATGTTGGCGTGTGCGACTAAATCCGTGGCCGAGAGTGTGCTGATTGCGCATCCTGCCGTAGCTCTTTGTCAATCAATTCCATAGCTTGAAGGCACTCTTCATCGTGGAACCTGGGTGCGACGATCTGGATGGCGCATGGCGCCCCATCAGCTGCTTCCGGGATGTCTATCTTTGGGTCAGCATTTTTCGGACCATGCCAGTGGGTAGATGCAGCCATACAATCAGAGTCAAAGGTGGCATTGCCCTTCTGGTGTTCAGGGAACTCGGCGCTCGAGGAGGTGCCATATGGGATGATGCCTGCCGGATACTGTTGTGGGGTTTCAGTCAACAGGTTACTTCATTTCGACAGGAATCAGGGACTCACGTCGAGGACGTTCCACATGAGCGTGTACATCGGACAACCATACGTGTCATGCGAGACCGACGTGCTGATCGCACCAGGCGCCAGTACAACGTCGAGGTCGAAGCTACCCCAAGTCTTCTGCCACGCTTCTGCATACGCTGCTTTGACTTTGGTAATCTGAATTGTTTCTGCAAACTTGTCTCCGCTCGGGGGCACAGGAAGGCCACCATGGGCGAAAGGGTGCACGCGTTTCTCGACCGAGTACACCAGCGGCTCGCCGGCCTCCTCAAGTACCTGGTCGGGACTAGGACCCCCTAGTGTGAAGAGCTGGAAGCCAATACGCCCACCCAAGTCCACGCTTGTACTGGCTTCGTATGGCAGGTGGACAATGTTGTGGCCCTTGGCCTTGAGGACGGCCACAGCCTTGTCGATGGTATGACGGACCGGAGGATGGAGTTTGTACAGGGGGTCCTCAGGAAGGACACCAATTGTGAGGCGTTTCGCGTAGTTGTGTGGTAGAGCCCGCCATCCGAGATGATGGGCTGTGGGATCATACTTCCAGGGCGACCGCCTCGTGACTGTCTGCATGAAGAGGGACAAATCGGCAACCGAATTGGCGAGAGGCCCAGCTGTAGGTTCTATGAGGTCCAGCCCATGAATGGGGAATGGGTAATGCGATTGTCCCCCAAAAGGAACACGGTTCGAGCTCGGTTTGAAGCCGTACGTGCCGCAGCAGAGGGAAGGGATCCGGATGGAACCTGCAATGTCGGTGCCGACGCCTAATGGTGATCCTCTGAACCCTACAAGCGCTCCCTCGCCTCCGGACGAGCCGCCTGCCGTCAGTGTTGTCTTGTGGGGACACAGCGTCCTTCCGAAGATATGATTTTCCGAGTCGGCCGTCTAAATCAAACCCAGGTCAGCGTTTTAAGGGTTAAAGGGCATCTGAATGGTGACAACGGACCATCATTGTCTGGGGCACATTTGTCTTGCAGTACAGAACAGCGCCTGCATCCAGCAACAAATCCACGAGAGCCGAGTTCTTGTTCGGCGGATCCCGCCTCAGATATTCAGTGTATCCGACCGTTGCATGCCTTCCCTTGACATGGAGAGAATCCTGCCCACCATTCAGTACTAGGGCGTGGAAAGCTTTGAAATGGAGGAACAGCGTACCTTGAGACTGACTGGTAGACCGTGTAAAGGTCCTACGACCTTGCCGGTCGTCTGAAGCTGCTGATCCAGCCACTTTGCTCGTTCAATTCCTTCATCAAAAAAGATCTCAGTTAGACACGAAGTCTTGATCATGCCGTTAGCGATGGTGTCATTTTTTCAGGTGACAGGCTAGGCCCCCTTACGGTTTGTTGAGCAACAGCGGCCATCTTGCAGAAAGTCACAGTGACCTCCGCAGAAGTGAGCTCGCCGGCATGAATCTTCTGAACAAGCTCTGATGCAGTTGCTTGTGAGATTCCGATCTCATGGTCGGATAGCAGCCCCGATTTCTGCGCAGTCTGGAGCTCGACGAGGCGTCCATGGCGGTCTGTTCCGTGTCCGGTGATTTCTTTGAGCGTATCGTCGCTGAGAGTCCAAGCCTTCGGAATTGCTTCACGCTGCTTCTGGGAGTGGGCTGCTGCCAGAGCTGCCCAATCTGAGGACAGGGTTGATCGATTCTCTTCGATGCTGAGGGCGGCTACGGAACCCATTTTAAAGCGCGGTGTTGACGTGGAACGTAGATTGTGTTCGTAGGGAATCTTGAAAAGCTGCACAGGGACAGGCAAAAGGGGGACTTCCGTATTCCAGTCTTTATCTATGCCCTACTGCCGAAACACGTAGCTCGGCATTTCGTTACGAGACCCCGATCACCAGCACACGCGACGCCGACGGAAGGCTGGATGCAACAAGGGTCAAGAAGAAGCTGGGGATAGTGGGTCCTTCGATGCGCAGCGCGGGGTAGCCTCTTCACCAAGGGACATGGAATGGAGGGGTTCGGCGCATACATTGCCCAAATCAGGAAAGGCATTGCTCTCTAGGCTGCAGGGGCGGCTTCCAGCATCGGCATGCAAACTGGCTGCTTGGAGAACCCACCTCGGCATGAATATGCATGTTGGTATTTAAGGCATAACGTCGTGGAGTCAGGGCGGACGATGGAATGGCCGCCACCCTGTCACACCACCTCGTCCGTCAGTTGTGTAGCACCGACTCTGCCGTTCAAACCCACGTTAACTCAAGATGGCGCCTCCAACTACGTCTGCTAATGCTCGGCATGTTTCTTCGCCCGGAAACCCGTTTGCTGCTCAGGAAGCTGCTGTACCACCCATGCGCATGCCCCACCTCGAATTTGTGTATCGCATTGTGGCCAACATGGACCAGACGAAGGTGTCGGAGATCAGAAATATTGACGGAGCGGGACTGATAAGGCTCATACTGCCAATCAAGGACGGGGTTATCGACGGGCCTCGGATCAAGGGCGTTATCGTGGAGGACAGTGGTGCAGATTGGGCGGAGATTCCGAATCCTGATAAGGTAAGTTGAACCGGTTCCGACCTTGGCGTGAGAATCTGCAGCTAATCTCGGAAACGGGGCCCTAGATCTTCACGAGGCTCAATGCTCGATACACTATCAAGACCCATGACGGATTCCATATCTTGGTTACTGCTACGGGAATATTTCGCCCAGGGCCAGGTGTTGAGATGAGCAAGCCGGCGCCGGACGCATCACAAGATGACGTTGAATACTTTACTCAGATACGACTAGAAGCGCCTGGAGATAGTCCCTACAACTGGCTCAATGGTATAGTGCCCGTGGGAGTCATGACCATGTCGAAGGGGAGGCCGATCATTGATTGTTATCGGTTGACCAACTTTCCCGGGGTCACAGCAGAGAACCTGTAGGACTGAGCGCCGAGTCAAAAGGTAGAAGATATGCACTGAGTTTAGATATCTGATGAAGGATGTTTTTTGGTTCCGTTGTTTTTTCTTGCTGAATAATCAGGCATCATGTGGTGTGTTAAAGGAAAAGCTGTTCTCCAGCACCAAGCCCCTAAGGCAACAAAAATATAGCTTTCCTAAATCATTTGTTCTTCTCATGAAGATCTACCAAACGCCTGAACCTCGGGGCCAGAGCAATCCTGATTTTCTTGCCCCAAATGAGAAGAGGGAGGAAGAGGGAGCCAACAGCAAAGGCAACGCACCCAGCCGTAATGAACATGTTTGACAAGCCCATGCTTGTCATCCAAGGCACAAAAGCAGATGGAACGCCAATGGCACCGGCATTGCGAATAAAAGCAATACCAACAAAGGACTCGGCGGTCAACTGCGGGTCATTAGTATGCCATATAGTCGAAAATGGTGTCTCATTTGAGGGGGTAAATACCTCTCTGTAGGCGTCAATGACAAGTGTGAATGCGATGCCACCATTGGAACCAAGGCCAAAGGCAAAGAATGCACCGCCAATACTGGGATAAATCCAATGCATTCCCTGAATACTGTTAGTCTTGCAAAATTAATTTCAGTGTCCTAGGAAATGATGATGCTTACTCGGGCCGCCGTAGTACCGTACATGATCATTCCGCCTGCCATGGTGATGGTCGACAAAAACAGGGGGTACAGTCGCATCTCCGGCTCGTAAATACCATTATTGTGACGCGCCAAACGAACGACTAGCCAATCGGCAAAAACACCGCCATAGATGCTGCCAAAGACGTTGCCGACGAACGGACCGAGGGCCATGTATCCCACTCCAGCGGGAGTGAAAAGGTAGGGCGGCGCCGAGAAGACAATGGCGTTAGCCTGCAGCATCGTGACCAGCCAGCAGACGCCAGAAGCGAACTGAATGGCCGTGAATGCCACATGGGGCAGGCAGATGACCCTGACTGGCAAAATGAATGTTTCCCACAGAGACTCATTCGATTTGGTGACGAGGCGGTGCCGTTCCCGATACGATTTCATCGGAATGTCGACTTCTCCGACAGCGTTTGACTTGATCGCTGCAAGGTCCACAGAGTTCATCTTCTTTACCTCGTCCTGTTCCTGGTTCTGTCCCTCAACCGGAAGTTCCAGTTCGTTAAAGTCGATCACTGCGGTACTTTGAGTGGGACAAATATATTTCGTCTCTTCGAAGAAGAACACAAAGACCACGAAAAGAACAGTCAGAGCAATCGAGATGCTGTAGTAGGACCAACGCCAGCTTTGCGCAACAGCCTGAGCGCCAGCACCCATGGGAGTCAGGAACGAGCCGCACATCACGGCAATGAAGTAGACGCCGTTGGCAGCTCCACGCTGGTGTACGAAGAATAGGTCCGAGATCTGATTATGAAAGCCTTGGTTATCACACTATCATCCAGGTCAAATGGGGAAAGACTTGATCTTACGGTCATCTGCACCGCTGTTTCGTTAATAGCACCTGCAAGCCCTGTGATGAAGGACGTCGCGATCAACTCCGCGTAAGAGTCGACACGGGACGTCCACCAAGAAGAGGCTGCCAGCACAAGAGTAGAAAGGATATAGACCGGACGTCGACCGTACTTGATCGCGAAGGGGATGAAGAAGAGGCATCCAACTGCCAGACCGGCGAGCTGGGCCGATTGGGCATTAGACAGCTGAGAGAACGTGACTTTCAGGTCGACACTCATCGGCTGCCAGAGCACTGTTTGGACAGAGAGGTTGGTGAACGCTGCCAAGGTAACGACGGTGACGAGACCATAGTTGAGGAATTTTCGCCATGTCGGCCAATTCTGTCAAATCAGGGTTTAGCTCTTGCTTGTGTAGCAGGTTGGGATCACGGGCTACGCACCAATGGCTCATTGGGGTCAGACGATGGAGTTGGCGAGAGAAGGAATTCCATTGCTCCAACAGTGTCCTCATCTGTACAAGAGACATGTTAGGCTTTTACTTTTGGGTTGTGACAGATTCGTTGAAACTGACGCTGCATCAAAGGCACCGTGCCAGGTGGCGGCGGCGTCGTGTCGGCCATGTTGCGGTTGAATGATGAGGTGACAACTTATGAATCTGAAACTAGATAAAGAAATGTGAGATTCAAGTCTCAACAACTTTGGTATGACTGAGTGCTGTGCGCGCTGGAGGACAGCTCAAGGAAGGGCAGTGCTGTTTTATGAAGAGTCGGCAACTTGGTGCCTCGCAACAGTGCTGGGCCGGCAACGCGAGTCACCACCCATTCTGATGCAGATTGTCACGTTGGGGTACACCCGACATGCCGGTAGATTTGACGTCAAGATGGTGTCGCATTGGGCTGGTGAACTATCACCGCCACGTTATAGGCCTGATCTCACGCGCCCTCCTACACGAAAATCGTGTAGGTTGGCAACGCTATCGACTCCTGATTTAGGCGATCAATCACCCCCCCGCACTGCTATCTATGAGAAAGAAGCTGGGGTAACGGGGGTGGAGATGGTGTTCAGCTTGTGCTGCTAGTCCTTAAATAGGAGGTCGTTGCGCCCCTCCCCAAGCTTTTGGGAGCATCAACCATCTCGCTCGTCCCCTTGCCCTACTATCCGTCGCTGACTCGTCGGAACGACTTTCCGCAATCTGACCCTGGTCCAGCAGGTGTTGAGGAACGATGGGCGATGGCAAGGTCTAGGACAGGCTGTGCCAATTGCAAACGACGCAAGAGAAAATGCGATGAAGCGCAACCTGGATGCCAGGCCTGCGAGCAACGTGGCATTCAATGCGACGGCTACAATCAGACGCTACGCTGGAACAACGGCATCGCCTCACGAGGTCGCTTTGCGGGGGCTCTGGTACCTGAGCTCCCCGAGTCCCCCAGACCTTCCGCAGGAGCACGCGAGTCGCACGAACCCCCTCGCCCTGGGCCAGGCGATTCTTCCCAGATGTCCGAAACAACAACAACAACGGAGGCTCACGATGACGCGTCTGCAGACACAGACATGATCCTAGACGCGCCGTTGGCCGTCTCCTCAGCGCCGCCATCACCGTATTCAAGCCTTGGGGTTGCGCCAACTCGGCCTTCAATGCAGCCTGAACTCTTTGAACAGTGTGAGTGAGCCTCACGAGGAGTAGATCCAGAGAGTGCGTGTTGACTGTTGAAGAACTAACATTTGGCCAGTCTTGTCATCTGGCCTCTTGCGACTGTATGCAACGGAAACCAAGACGTGGATCCAACCTTTCTTCCGGGGTCTCGCAGAGCAGAGCGAAGCATTCGTCTACGTCTGCATCGCAATCCAAGGATACCTGAGTGACAAACAGCGAGGCCTATCTGTGCTATCAATGGAACGTGTCGATCACGCGCTGCAGTCGTTCCGAGACGAGATAGCCTGCCGAGCCAAAACCCTGCATGTCGCTACAACCTGCGCTGGCCTCCTGATGTGCACGTTGTTGGTAAGGTCCCAATTGCCCAGATTCCCAGGCGCATAGACATGCCCGTTAAGGCGTAGCGCCGTCAGTGGTATAGCGCTGATGAACTAACACTCTCCTTAGCTTCTACAAGGCCGCCCATGGACGTTCCAGATCCACCTCATGGCAGATCTGTATCAGCTGGCATCCGAGATGCCGGATACTGAGCACGACGAGGCGAAACGTCACGTTCTCGAGGTCATGGGCGTCATGGACCTTCCAAACATTGTCCTTGGCCGATCGAACCCCTCCATCGGCATTTGGAAGCGGTTGCGCGAGACGCAGGATGCTTGGCCAACTGGACGTGTAGGAGGCATTGAGGTTGTGTCGGGTGTGCCTCGGTCCCTTCTCGACATATTCGCGGGGCTCCTGGACAACGATCCCGAGTACACGGAGAGGAAGTTCTCCCGGTGGCCCGGTCACGTTGGCAACTATCTGCAGTGTCATCTCTGGAGCTCGTGGCGTCTGGCTGGCATCCTCGAAGTGCGGCGCCGCCAGAAGCTGAAGAGGCGCAGCGAATGCAATCACCAGCCATCAACAGAGATCGTATTGTGCCAGCTCATGGCCGCTATGGATGCGCTGTACCGCGCGAGCCTGATCCCGCGTAACGAGCACTTACTCGTCAAGAATGCTTTGGCCTACCCGTTGATGACTGCAGGCCTGGAAGTTGGCCTGCTTCGACTTCACAGAGAGTGGAAGGACACGATAGATGAGATACGAGAGCACTTCATGCAGAGAGATGACTTTAACCTCATCAAGGTGACGTTTGAGTTGATTGAGGAAGCCTGGGTAGACGGGTCAGACTATTTTGACGTCGGTGCAGCAGCTCGCCGACGCGAGGTTGAGGTTGCACTGTTCTAAGATTGAGAAGAACCTCGACTGTCATTGTATGGTGCATCATCGGTAAAGTTGTACTACATCATCATCATTATGCCGGACTCGAGCTTTTGTCTTCTTCGAGTGCAGATCTATGGCTTGCCGCTTCTGATATCATCGCCGAGCGCAGCCTGTCGTGTCCAGATATTCATCCCAATCTTGCTGCCCATGACGACCGGCTCTCCAGCGTGCAGAGTTCTCACGTCGCCAGCGCCATCTTTACCAAGATTCTCCCAGAATACGGCACTCCCCTCGATGGGCCGGAAAACGGCACCTTTGTCGCGTTCGGCGTCGCAGTCTACCCAGCGACACCACGTACCCTCCGCGCGGCGCCTCAAGCAAGGGAAACGAAGTGCCGCCTCCGATTGTACCCTCGCCAACTGAGACATAGGCGAAAAAGCTCGTGGCCCGATTGCCGCCCTGCGAAGCCGTAGCCTGAGATGGCGACGTGAACCAGTCGGTGTGGAAGTGATAGTGGCCGCCGGCACTATAGCGAACGAGCTGCAGGGGCTCAAGGCGTGCAGCAGCGGCAGCGTCGAGACCTTGGAAGGCAAGGGCACGCTGGTGGAGGCAGTCGACAAGCTCCGAAGGCGGCAAGGCTGTTGACTCGGAGGCTCGAACGGCGTGGTGTGAGGCGTGACCGTCGGCGTCGACAACAGAGGACTTAGTAAACGTGTCGGCACTGAGGAACTGTCAATTCTGGGCCGGGATGTTCATGTGCCAGATCGGGGGAGACTCACGCTAGGCTCTGGAGTTTTTGACGCTCGGAAGGCGATATGAAGTCGGTCAAGTAGATTACCAGTGGTGATGTGGAAAATATGTGAACTCGGTACGACGGTTGCTCGCAAGTGGAATTGTCCACGGCTGTGACAAGAGGCGCTTGCTCTCGATTTTGGGCTTTGATGACAGCGTTGAACCCCAAAATCGCGATGGCGGTCCTCAGTCTACAGAACAGAACCATGATGACGATTTCACAAGCAATTAGAAATCTTCAAGACCGACAAGGGAGCCCAAGCTTCGAGCAAGTCGATGTCAGCGAAACATCTGGTATTAATTCATTCTTAGTCCCTCAGCCCATCAATTTTGGTCAGCCTGATGAAATAGATCAGATTGGCCCATTGTCATGGCAGGGTCGCGTTCGAAACACGATGAGTTTGGGGTGCACGGCCAGGCAAGCCCCTGAAGAACGCTAAATGATCGATCCCCATCTTTTGTCCCCGGCGCCTCGACATGGGTTGATGTTCAGGGGCAGGCCCCATACGCACCCCTTGACAGATGGAGTTGGCCGTCCGAGAAGGCCAGATCTGAGAAACCTCGTCACGAAATTGGAGCCGAGAACCCCGAGCCTGTAGCTCTAGCGATTATCTTACCAGAAACCCAACTACTCAGCCAAGGGTTGCTCAAGAGCTGTCTATTCTCGCATCATTAACCTCACGATGCGCTCCCACGTCTCCCTGGCCGCATGTCTGGCTCTGGCAACCCACGGGGTTTTGTCTTGGGAATTCATGTCCGAAGCCGACACCAGGCACGCCTTGGACAGCAATGAGTTCAGCTTGGTTGCCTGTGAGTCGTAGTTCAATCCACAGTCCATCTTGCGTCCATTGACCTTAAATAGTTGTCTCGGTACGTCTGCCACACACCAATATATCATAACCCATGTTGCAGATAGCTGACCTTGCTGGGGATGGTTCAGCCCGAAGAGTATACCCTCATCTCTCTATTTTGGAACAGGTCACAACTGATTGACATTTTCTAGCGAGGCAAGCAAGAACTTTGAATCAGAATGGCTACCTTTAGAAAGCCAAGAGTTCGCACTCAGTGTCGACTGCCAGAACGCAACAACGCTTTGCGCTGAGCTCGATGTCGTCTCCTTGCCAGCCATCCGTATCTACACCCCCGAGGGCCTCCACTGGAGGTATCGCGGGCCGAGGGTCACCAAAGAGTAGGCTGCGGATTGAATTACTCGGGGTTTCCCATGCGGACTCAAAGCTAACATCGGGGGGGATCATGGACTTTCCTCCAGCGCATGGTTCCACCCGCCTGGCAACGAGGGTTGACGGGCCATTGACGCAGTCTTTCGTCCAGGGCGACGACGTCGGCGTTCATGGCGGAAGGTGGGTTCTGGCCCGAAGAATGAAACATTTCGAGCG